TATTTCTGACTCTTGTTGCACAACAAACACATCTCACGTTACTGTAAGCAGCAGTCGACCCGTAGCTCTGAACACGCAACGATGTAGTTGACGAAACATTCAAGCAAAGAGATCATTGATAGAAGATATAAACAGGTGATTGACACAAAATAAGAGCTTAAAGTGGATCGTAGCAAAACAGCAAATGTTGAATATACTCTCTATGATTACGTTCAAAATCTCTCATATTGCACCTTTAACTTATTAACTGCGACTTCCAGTAACCTGCTGTTATTCTGTCTTCATCATCGATCATATTTCAGCAGCGTGTTCTCTCCTCTAGAGCCAGATGAAAGAGGAGAGCAGCAGAAGTAACATCAGTCCAACGCTACAGGCACAACCCTTTGTAACTCTCATAATACTCACGTCCTTTGGGAGTTTGTCAGCCACTTCGATGCAACTCCTTGTGCGGCTTCAGTTTGCACAGTTGTTGTGTCGGGTTGAATTTATCGTGAGCTCCTGTACGGCAGCATCACAAACATCTGCCTCTAGTGTTTGCTGTGGAGCTGGATCGTCCGATGTAATATTACAAACCAAGTACATGTTGCACGACTGCAGCCTTGGATTGCATAACATACATGGTCGGGTCTGATTTTGCTGGATTATTCCTCATTTTTCTGAGTTCTGAGTCTCAGGTGCAACAGTTTCTTAGCGTTTGTGCTGGAAAAGTCGCCAGCTGCTGCTAATGCTCAGGGTCAAGAGGCTGCATGCATATCTGACTGCTGTCACACGTCTCTGGAGTCCAGCAGTCAGTGTTGGTAGGCAGCGGGACGGCCGCGCCGAGAGGCAGATAAATATTTAAAAAAGGCCTCCGGGTTGTTAGATTGGACTCACTGTAGGACAATCATGAGCTGTGGCAGTTATCCACTGTCTGTGTTCAGTTTCATTCAAATGAAAGAAGAATTGCTGGAAAGACATTTTGGAGTAAAACCATGTTGACAAAGCAAAGATCCAGACGGGTAACAGCCCAGATAAATACTGAATAAATACGCTACAAAAGTGGCAGAACACGGCACATAAAACAGTTAATTACAGATAACACACAAGTGATTCAGAAAAACAAAGAATTAAATTGACTGCCGCTTTATTGGCTTTTATTTTACTGCTCTGTACGATAATTTGCATAAGTGTACAAAATACGCATTTTAATTTCTATTTAAAACCATAAATCACAGTCAAATGAAGAAACTAGTGCTGACAATGAAAAAGATTACACATGACTGTTTATACAATAGGAAGCTAAATGTGAACCTGTCAGATTAAACTATATTTTTATTCCCTCAACAACCCAAAACCTAAAATAGTTTGCATTTAAGCTCTTATTTTTAAATTTAAAAAAAAATGTCAGTGTGTTTTGGGCTCTTTTTGCATAAAGTTTCACGTCTTAGTTTGGCTTTTGGTCGTACATTTGGTGGCAGTCCTTGAAAACGAGGCTTGAAATCCTCCAAATGATGACTAAAATATGCAAGAATCCAATTTCCAGTTGCACAAACCCTTTGGTGCTATTCAGCGACAGCCAAAAACCAATTTCACCTGAACTGCCTCAGTGTGATCTGATTCACCAAATTTCAACAGATTGTGATTCAAATGTTGATAAATTTTCACTGATTCCCAGAAACAGGTGAAATCATGTCATTTCCAAACGAGCGCTGCTGCTTTAGAGCAACAAGAAAAGCACAAAGGAAAAAAAATCTTTCAGAATAACTACAGATGTTATAACTTTTTCATGAGAAAAGAGACGATACAGCGTCCATGTTGGATCCCATCACTCAGAGCAGATTGAGACAAATGGACCTTTGAAGAGTTGACGTGATGCGTTTGGATCTCAGTCTGAGGACTGTTTTCGCAGCAGTTCATTCTAACAGCAGTGTTTGTGTTTGTCTTGTGTAACGCCACCTGCTCTCTTCCTGCTGCTCTCAGGTGTTCGGTAACATCGAGCTGAACGAGGAAACCGCCATCAACCACCACAACAACTTCCAGACCTTCTTCCAGGCCCTGACCCTCCTCTTCAGGTGACGCCGCCTCATTACGCCGCAAGCTGTCGCAGCTCGATTAATCCTGCTGATGAAACACAAACTGCATGTCACACGCAGCGTTTGCATGTGTTTGCAGGAGTGCGACGGGAGAAGCGTGGCACGAGATCATGCTGGCCTGCCTCAGTAACCGGCCCTGCGATAAACTCTCAGGAACGGCGGGGAAAGAGTGTGGAAGCGACTTCGCCTACTTCTACTTTGTCTCCTTCATCTTCCTCTGCTCCTTTCTGGTCAGTATCTGCTGCAGGAGAACACCTGGACAGATGTTCTGAATGACTCAACTTTTCCAGAATTGGTGTTTTAGTTCATCAACTACGAGTTCAAACTTTGTTGCATGACTCAGAAACGAATGTCAGTTACAGAACGTGAAAACAAAAGTGTAGATTTTTTCACAGATTTCACAGATTTGAAAAGAGCAAATTGGCTTAAACTCATTTTCTATACAAAAAGTTATTGTGTGCTGAAAATGGAAAGTTACCACAGTGAGGAATTTGGGGGGTTTTAGGGTATATTAGACGCATTTTTGGCCAAGAAAGGGACATTTTTTGGGGGAAATAAATACTAAAACTTCTAGAAAAACATCTGAAATATTCAAAATTAGCACAAATTTATCCACTGAATTTCCATCAACTACTAGTTCAGGCTTTGTTGCATGACCCAGAAACATCTGTCAGTTACAGAAAGTTAAAAAAAAAGTGCAGATGATGCGACCGTCCGTTAAACTGAATCATCTTGGCACTAAAAATGGAATCTTTTTAGTATTTTCTCCTAAATTTGTATTCAGATTTTTGCTTTTTTTCTGCACGCATCTAATTCACATCAATTCATTTAATATTTATAAATCAAAACAAGAACAACAAAGAGCTCTAATTATTGCCCAAATTAGCAGAGTGCTGTTGCCATTACGCTCATTAGTTTAATTTATTACCCTTTCAGAAATTCTCTTTGTGGAACAGAAGGAAAAAAACCCCCAAACATGTCAAAGACACACATTATCAACAAAGAGCTGCACGACAACGTCAACAATCAATCACCGAGTGCAACAGATTGCAACTGACGCACACCTAATTCCATCCAGATCGGTTTCATGTGGACAAACGGGAAGATAAAGGAGGGAAGGATGGAAGTTGTTCCCTTTGTGACGATAGTAACGGCTCAAGAGAAGGCGTGATAGATCACAAAACGGTGTCACGTTGACCCACAAACCTACCAGACACTTTGACAGTCTTACTGAGTTTGTTCTTTTTAACCACAGACGGTCCAAAAAATACCAAACAAGACAGCAGAAACTTGAAATACTCACCATGAATTAATAATAATTAAAAGTGTTTATCTACCTCTCCTTGTTGTAATCCTCTCCTGGAAGGTAAAATTGTGTTCAAAATGTAAAGTAACTAAGTACATTTCCTCAAGTACGGGACCATTTTCCATCCACTCCGCTAAATGTCTGAGGAAAATATTGTCCTTACTTTAGCTCAAGTTATACTTAAGGTGAAGATTGTAAACGAAGGAAAATATAAAAAGTTTTGAAATACAACAAAGTGTTCAAGTTAAACCAGTGATTTCCAACTGTTTTGACTCGTATTTCTAGTGTTTATGAATTTGTTCAAAGCTCCACCAAACAAGCTTCTCATGTGTTTCCATTGCAGTACTTTTACTTTATTACTTATGTACTAAATTATGCACAAAGGTTGCTGTGTGCTGCAGGAACGAAGTGGGAGATTCAACGACTAAAAACAGAATCTGACCTCTTTTTGACCAAAAAAAGTAGTTTAAGGAGATTTGTGGCAGCAGTTAGGGTTAATGTTGGGAAACACAAACTAAAACCTACAATAAAATGTCTAAAATATTAAAAAATATGCACAAAAACATCCACAAAGTCAGTCAGAACTCTTTAATCAGCTACATGCCGTCCCTGCAAAAATCCACAATAAACAGAAACAAGAAATACATCTAATATCCTGAATCTTCTTCACTCGTTTGTATTGTTTCTGATTTTGTTCCCCCCAGATGCTGAACCTGTTTGTCGCCGTCATCATGGACAACTTTGAGTACCTGACCAGAGACGCCTCCATCCTGGGGCCTCATCACCTCGACGAGTTCATCCGTGTGTGGGCCGAGTACGACCCGGCAGCCTGGTAGGTGGTTCTGCTCCTGAATGTTGCTCCGGCGTTACACAAGGAGGTCGCTTTTAGAGGGAAAAGGTAGACCGGGGAGCGGGAAACCCCGTTAGATCGACTTCTGGGTTCCAGCAGGGCGACTCTTGGATGCGTAACGGGGGGAGATCTTGTCTTAGCGGCGCCGGGTGAGTGACATTAAGCCGAGTGTTGGCTGAAGCTGGTGACGAGGATCCCCGTCGGCTGGACTGATGCATGTAAATCCAGCGTTCCGCCCGACGTCCACTCAGCCCTTCTTGGCGATAAGCCGGCGCCACCCAAAGCTCCTCAGTCTGCCTGTTTCTGACTGTTTCTGTCCGTCTGGTTGTGATCCAGTTCTGCCCTTTACTCCGACCAGTTTACCTTCACTGAAGCACAGTACAACTCAGATTATATAAAGCTCATTAAGTTTTAACGAAGCCTTTTCAGCGAGCCAGGGAGAGGTGTGAGATGTGAAATATGAAAACGCCGTCACCTGACAGACATTACGGGGGAGGAATTATTATTTATTCCTTTGAATATGAATGAGCCGCTCTCAGAAGAGCCTCCGGTGGCATCCGGCGTATTTCCTCAGCCGCTTTAACTCATCATTATGTCAGGTTTCTGCGACGACTGCGTTTAAGGCTCATCATTTTCAGTTTTTTATTGGATTTCACAGATTTGAAAACAGCAAATTGGCTTAAAGTAATTTTGTATACAAAAAGTTATTGTGCGCTGCAAAAGGAAAGTTATCACCGTGGAGAATTTGGGGGGTTTTAGGGTGTATTAGAAGCATTTTTGGTCAATAAAGGTAGAGGGCAGTTTGAGGTTTATGTTGGGAAATGTACACTAAAACATCTGAACTGTTCAAAATAAGCACCAACAAATTTGCAGATATATTCACAAAAATGAAAACTGAAAAAAAGAGCCACAGGTTTCATGTTTTGCTTCTTGTCCCTAATAACAGATTATCAGTTAGCAGGAACGAGTGCGTTTAAGGCTCATCATTTTCAGGTTTTATTGGATTTCACAGATTTGAGAAGAGCAAATTGGCTTAAACAAGATTTAAATACAAAAATGTATTGTGTGCTGCAAAAAGAAAGTTATCACAGTGGAGAATTTGTGTGTCTCAGGGTATATTAGACGCTTTTTTGAGTCAAAAAAAAAGTATGTTTAGAGGGCCATTAGAGCTTCATATTGGGAAATAAGTACTAAAACTTCTAGAAAAACATCTGGAATAGTGAAAATAAGCATTAAAAAAAATCACAGATTTAGCCACAAAAATAAAAACGACAAAAAAAGAGCCACAGATTTCATGTTTTTATTAATGCTGTTGCTTCTTGTTCATCCCTTATAGATTATCAGTTAGCAGAAACGAATGCGTTTAAGGCTCATCATTTTATTTTTTGGGGCGTGGGATTTCACAAATTTGAGATGAGCAAATTGGCCTAAACTAGTTTAGGAAGGTTACCACAGTGAGGAATTTTGGGGTTTTATGTTTTATTAGAAGCATTTTTGGTCAACAAAAGGGAGATTTTGTTGGGAAATAAAAACTTAATAAATCTGCAAATTCACAGATTTCTTCACAGAACTGGAGAAAGAGCCACAGGTTTGATGTTTTTCTTCATGCTGCTGCTGCTTCTTGTTAACTCCTGCTAACTGATACCAGATTATGATTAACAGATGTAATGGAATAATCTAACCTCTTGAACATGTCTCGTCTCTTTCAGCGGGAGGATTTGCTATCAGGATATGTACAAATTGTTGCGTTTTATCTCTCCTCCCCTGGGCCTGGGGAAGAAGTGCCCCAGCAGGGTGGCTTATAAGGTTTGCACTCCCCACACAGTCCTGTTTTTGTTTCTTAAAGGGACTGTGCTGGTGTTTTCAGACTGTCAATGTCTGACCCGACCACACACACACATGCATACATCCAATCCTCCACTAACCAGCCAGCAGGTAACCATGGCGAATGTGGGAAACAATGCAGCAAGTCAGCCTCCAACAAAAAAGGCATCCGATGAGATGTCTTTGGATGTTTCGCTGCTTCTAAACACGGGAGTGAAAGCAGAGGAGTGGGCAGCGAAAAGGAGAGCATTGTGTGCTTTGTTTCCACTTTGGTTGCTGCTGATGTCCCTGCGGAAACGGAGGGCATCTTAAAGGAATACTCCGCTGAAAATCTGGTTTTTAGAGGTGGAAATATTCAGCAGCTTGAGAAGCGGCTTTGGCAACTTTGAAACTGTTCTGACAGACTTCAGTTAAAATATCAAAGTTCAACAAATTCTCCTGCAAGACACCTGAAAGCTGCAGAAAACCAAAGCTTCCCGTCGTAGCTGCTGTGAATTCAGCCTACAAACCTCTCAGAGTTACCTTTAAAGCACACAGGCAGTGGATGATACTGGAAAGGTGGAATATTTGGTGGGTTTTAGGGTAAATTACACAGATTTTATTGGAAAATAAAAACTAGAACTTCTAGAAAAACATGAAAAATATTCAATATAATCGCTGACAAATTCACAGATTTAGTTGCTGAAATGAAAACTGAACAAAGAGCCACAAGTTTCATGTTCTTCATGTTAAACGACTGCGTTTAAGGCTCATCGTTTTCACTTGTAATTGGATTTCACTGATTTGTGTACTCATTTTGCACACAAAAGGTGTCAAAGTTTTCTAAATTCTCCTGCAGAAAACCAAACGATAGAAAACCTTCCCGTTGTAGCTGCTGTGAATTCAACCTACAAACCTCTCAGAGTCGCCTTTCAAGCGCCCAGGTAGTGGATGATAGTCAAAAGGTGGAATATTTGGTGGGTTTTAGGGTAAATTACACAGATTTTGTTGGGAAAGAAGAACTAAAACATCTAGGAAAACATCCGAAATATTCAAAATAATCAAATTCACAGATTTGGTCACAGTGTCATGCTTTTCTTTATGTTATACGGCCATGTTTAATCATTTTCCGTTTTTACTGGATTTCACAGATTTGGGAAGGCTTAATCTCATTTTGTACACAAAAGTTCTCTAAATTCTCCTGAAGAAAACAAACCAAACGATAGAAAATCTTCCCGTTGCAGCTGCTGTGAATTCGACCTACAAACTTCTCAGAGTCGCCTTTCGAGCTTGCAGGCAGTGGATGTTCCTCAATAAGCTTGGGTTTTTCTAGCGGATTATTCCTTTAACTCAAGATTAACTCTCATTCGTAGTTGCATATCTTCCACCAGGATCCTTCCATCTTTGAACAGGGAATCCTCCGGAGCATCCTCCCCTCCTCCTCCTCCTCCTCCTCCTCCTGTGGGATCCTGAATCTGTGAATTCAAAACCCGGATCCAGATCATGATATCCTGGAAATCTTATTAACGAGGATTTCTGTGTTTCCCTCTCCTCTCCCATTCTTTTTGTTGATCTAACTCCCCTCTCCCCACCTCCTTTTCTAATCCCTCGTCCTCAAATCTCCATCCGTCTTTCCACCGAAGCGGCCGCATGACTTACCGCAATATGTACGAGATGCTTCGCGACATGTCCCCTCCGCTCGGTTTGGGGAAGAAATGTCCACCCCGAGTCGCCTATAAGGTAGAATCCCTCCGTCCTCCTACTTCCTCCTCCTCCTCCCTCCTGCAGCCTCTGCTGGTTCCCTGCTTCCACCTGTCAAACATCTTCAGGCTTCTGTCCATGTGTCTCAGTCGGAGCCTTCTGGCCTGCTGCTGTGATGTTCTTTCTGTTTATCTGTGAAGCCTTGTCCTGCTCTGTTCTTCTAATGTACGGCCACGTGACACCGGTGAATAAAAGATGCACCAGAGAGACGAGAAAAAAAACAAAAAGAGAAAAACTTAACAGACAATGTTTGAGGAGCCATTCGTCCCAGCGTGTCGAGCTCGCAGTAAATTATCACCATTTCTGCAGCTCTGCGGAGCTTCGGAGCCCGTTTTTGCTTGCCGTTTTGGTTTTTTTCGGCAGCCTCAGCAACTCTCATTTCCAACAGCAGCAGGTGGCTGTTTTCTGCAAACAAGCTCTGATAAATCCATTGAACGCCATCTGCCCAGCAGCCATTAGCACACACACACTCTAATACCGGCTAGCTGGTGAAGGAAGAGGAACATCTAGTGGCTGGAACCAGACACTCTTCTCAGGAATCATATTTACGACCTCAGGAATCTGTGATTTGGTCACGTAGCGTTCTAAATGTGAACCTTAGCTGCTATCCAACAGCAGGCTGCATCTTCGGTTCGTTTATATTCTGGAAAAGACTGTAAATGTCTGAGATCAAGAAAAAATAGAAGCCAGGTTTGAAGAAGTGCCCTGCTCGATAACCAGTTAAAAAAAGCAGTGGTTTGATTTTCCAGCAGCCTGCAGGGCTTCAGAGAGGCAACATCCAGATAAAGTGAGGTTTGATTTGGACATTCATTGTCCCCAGAGGGTGAAATCTGATATCTAGGGGCATCAGTTCAATGCCTTCATGATGGCAACAAGGCCGGAAGCATTATGCTTTAGGATTGTCCGTCCTTCCCGTTCTCATGAGCAAAATATCTCTTGAATAACTGGAGAGAATTTCAGAATATTTGGCACAAAGGTTCATTTAAACTGAAGGATCTACTTATTAGTGGGTAAATGTGAAAGACGGAGACCACTGTCACCTCACAGGATGTGTTTTTGGCCATAAATCAAGATTTCATCCACTAGTTTTGACAAAATTTCACTTAAATATCTAATCGGACAAAATAGTAAAACAGTCGCATTTTTTATCCAGATGTTTGAAGGTTAAATCTGGACAGACATAAAGCAACGTTAATACAACGTTAAATGGTCGTAGCTTTAGGGAACGTGATCTAACGTCATCATGCACAACGTGGAGACGCTGCAAATGAGGCTGGTGGAGACCAAAACCAGAGGTAGAAGTAAAGTGACTTCTGGATTAAATCGTGGAAGAAAAATACAAATCTTTCTCTAAAATATGTTGTAGAAGCCAATAATGTAATAACAGTCGATAACGTAGTAAATTAGCACTTTTTAAAATGTAATAGGCCAATAATGGCCATGAAAGTCCTGAACCGATAATCTGAAATCTTTTGGCCAATAATGTGGTAAGTTATTATGTTTTTGGCCAAAAGTTATCACGTTATCAGTTCAGGACTTTTGTCATGTTATTGGCTTCTACGTACATAAAATCGAAACGCTGATTAATATTTTGGCCCAGTTGTTCAAAAACTTAGTCTGCATCAGAATAATTTAAATTTGGAAGTCACTTCGGATCAGGTGATCCACCAAACTATTGTGCTGCTTTATCAAGTGTCCAATAGTTGACAAAAAACTAAATGTTTGCTGTTCTTCTTTATTTGTGGAGCCCCAACAGCACAGTTATCATTTAATGTACAGCGATAAACGATGGGTAAAATTAAATATAATGCTTTTCTTTTATATTGACAGCTTTGTTGCGGATTATTTTATGACGACAAAATTGTTTTCTTGAACTTTACTGTAAAAACAGGCCTAATAGATAACTTAATGTCTACTTTAACTGCTTTATCACTGTGATCAGGTACTGCATGGTGCAAATATTGTACCGTTTGACCAGTTTTATCACTTTTTGTTCCTAAAAATCCACATGAAATCCACGATTCTGCTGTGCATCAAAACATTTTCTGGGGGGACATCATAGGTGGTACCCACTAAAACACTGAAGGTTTGATCCTGATTAAAACCACAACTACTTCTAATGTCAATTTCAAGATTTGATCCAAGCTGACAAACTGAGCTTTAGAGTTTATCTGCTCCCTCGTTGGTCAAAAATGAACATCAGCCATGCCAGGATGTTTTAAGAGCTTATTTACAGATTTAAATGAATTTTAGAGAAACAAATTTCAAAGGAACAAGTGACGTTAGCGCCGGATCACATCTGGATTCAGCTGCTAGTCAGGATTTATTGAGGGATTTGCAAGATGAAGCCTTTCAGAGTATTTTCGATCTCGTAATCAGCCTTCGATGAAAGCAAACCTGGGCAAGATGAAGTCATGCACACGCCTCAGTAGTCCTCAGGTAGCTCCCCTGCCAGCTGCTCACCTCTTAGCATGCAGACTTAATGTGAGTGGTTCCAGCGCATGCACAGCTGTCTACACGAATCACGGTTAGAGCGGCCCTGCCCTCGCCCCGGTTAAAAATGTCTCCGTCTGACGTGGTCTCCAAATAGAACCGTTGTCTTTTTTTTTTTTGCAAATCGACAGGGGAAAGACACGAGAGAGCAGCATTTGAGAGCGAGGCTGGCAGTTCTTTTTTAATTTCCCCCCATTATTCTGTTTTCCCTCCCATCACTTTGCTCCGTGTTAACCTCCTAATGAACACGTCTTCCCCTGATAGTCACAGTCGTCCCCTCCACTTTCATGTTCTGTCTCCAGGCTCAGTCTCTTTCGAAATGATCTTTCTTTCACCCTCTCCGGGGATTTCAACCCTTTCTTCGTCGCTCTAACTTCCCCTAAAGTGTAGCTTGAGCACCTGTGTGTGTGCATGTAAAGTCTTTGTCTGCAAGCCTCTGCATATGATGGTCTTTAATTCCTGTTTCTGGGAATTAGATGTAAGTCTTCACGTGTGTCCTCCTCCTCCTCTTCCTCCTCTTCTATCTCCATCTCTTCATCTGTTTCTCTTTTTCCTTAAATCTCCTTCGCTTGGCTCAAAGAAAATCGGAACCATCAGTTACAGTTTGCCTCGTTGTGTCACACTGATGTTTCTGGTTTTTGCCGTCCACCATCCCAGTCCTGCATCTATATGTAATTCATATGTTCTTGTACTGATACCAGCATGCATGTGCTCATGAATCATTACATCGCAGCATTGATCCTTGCATGGATTTATGCTTTTTACGATCAACGCCTGATGAATTTTAAGTGAGCTACTGTAAAAAGGCTGGTTCATGTATTAATAATGGAGCCTCGGCAGCAATGTGAGGCTGATTAGTCGATTCATGATTTACTCAGTGTCAGAAAATAATGAAAGCAGAGCTCAAGACTACGTTATAAACGACTTGTTTTGTCCAGAAAAACACTCCTATGGTGATAGAAAACAGAGAAAAGCAGCAAATCTTTGCATTGGAGAATCTAGAAGCAGCAAATGTTTGGTGTTTTTGTTTAATAAATTAGTTTTTGAACTCATTGATAAATTGTTTTTTTATCCAGGAGTTTTAAACTAAATGAGGTTTCAGTTTTCTTGATTCTAGTCCCAGACAAACAGTAGTTGATTTGTTGATAGTTTCTGGATAAACGGGGTCATCAGAACTCTATTATAGACAGAAATTGCCTATTAAAAGTTTAATTCCAAGTTTAATTTGCTGTTTTAATCACACGCTCACATGTACGTTGAGAATATTGCTGGTGACTATGCTGTAATCGTTCCTCCTCTATGTACTGGTCATAAAATGCTCAAGACTTATAGCAACAGAAGATGCATCACAGTAGTTAGTGTAAAAACATATTTGATAGTTATGAGGCTTCAGGAGTCAAAGTTAAAGAAACAGAATGAAGATCTTTTAAAGGTTTTTGTACTTTTTGGAGCAGAAGTCCTTCTTTGTGTTTTCTTGAAGTTTCCTCGTAGTCACATCATTTTTTTTTTTACCGTTCTCAGCATCTTAAGTACAGTTTCCAGAGCTGTGCAACTTCTCGTGTCTCCTCAAGCCTCTTAAAGTGGGTGTTTCAGAATGAGGGACGTGCCGCTGCATGTTCTCAGCATGACTCAGGGCTTAGCATGTTACCAGAGCTCACATTTCTGAGCTTTATACGTTATTAGAAGTGTGCTTTGCATTAGTCTCTCAGCAACATTAGCAGCTCTCGGCTCTGGTCGGCCTGCAGTAAAACAGATTCATTTGGAAGGACTGAAATGATTTATGAGGTACTTTTTTTTGCTTTAATTTGACAGCTGATGTAGCAGGTAGGGTTTTGAGCTTTAACCACCAGAACAACAAGTTGACTCGTCTTTTGACAGAAAATTAACAAATATCTCATAATGAACAATCCATGAAGTGCTAAACTTATGAAAACAGCTGTTTCCCTCCAGTTATTGTGTCCTACATGTCTTGTTTTAATAAATCTATGATAAAATCAAGATGGCGGTGACATAATTTAATCCCCTGTCAAGTTTCAGAACTTTTGTAAAATCAAGTTGAACTTCATCTTGATTATAGTTCATTGATTTGTCGTATTCTGTCTTCATTTATAGATTCTTTGAAGAAATATTGATCAATCTCTTAGAAAAAATGTCAAACATTCACTGGTTACAGGTTCTTAAACAGGATTTGCTGCATTTCTCTGTTTTACATGTTCTAATGATCATCACTAAACGTTTTATGATCATTTTAGTAATTGGCAGATGACCTAATATTGATAGGGTATTACTTGATGCCCTAGAATGTGGCTGTAGATCATCTCTGTTATATATCACTGTTGCACCACTTAGGACATTTTAGTCTTTAAGGTCCTGAGTTTAAAAAAGTTAAAACAATAAAAAAATAAAATAAAATTTCACTCACTGCATTTAAAAAAAGCATCAAAATCAGTGTTGTTGTTTATTATTGACACATGCCAGATTGTGATTTTAAAAAATAAAATAGATAAAAATCTTTTCTTTTTTTTCCCATTAAAAACAACAGTGACATCATTTAAGCAAACTGGCATTTAAAGGGTTAAAATCCTGAAAATGAAAGACTATTTGGTAGTTATGATCAGGACTGATGCAGATTAAAAGAAAAAAAAAGTGACTGAAAGTAAAAAAACTAAAAATTAATTTGATGTGGACATTTTTGTCTTTAAGGACCTCAGAATATATTGATTTAATTGAGTCCCTCTTGGTGCTGGACTGAAGTTATATGAAAAATCTAACTCAAGGTGAACAAACTGTACAGTAGATATAATAAATCCAGGATTTATTCACCTGCCTGAGGTCCAGAATTGCTGCCACAGTTCTGATGACCTCTCCTTTAATTTATGGCTCCACCGGTTCCTGGAGCTGCCCGTCATGCGTTCCTGGTTCATGGCTCCTCCTCTTTGTGCTTCCGCTCCCCTCAGCGATTGGTGCGTATGAACATGCCCATTGCGGATGACAACACTGTGCATTTCACCTCCACGCTGATGGCGCTGATTCGCACCGCCCTGGAGATCAAACTGGCATCTGGTGAGAGACTAAAACCACAAAATCCACGATCCCCGGCGGCCGCACTGACAGCTTTGATAATGATGTGAGCGGCTGCTGTGGATCTGATGTGACATGTTTGTGGGTCCGTCCTCAGGGGTTCTGGCTCAGCGGCTGTGTGATGTCGACCTGAAGAGGGAGATAAACCGAGTGTGGCCCAGCTTGTCCCAGAAGACTGTGGACCTGCTGGTGACGCCACACAAATGTAAGTTCTGCTTCGGTGTTATGGACTCTACTGACCTGTTGATTGTGTCACTTCTTTCTTGTTTGTTTTTCTAACGTCATTGTTAATTTTTCTCACATAAACAGCTGTTTACTGCATAAACGTCCCCCTATCTGGTCGTTTTTATCTGTTATTGTGTCCGAAATGTCTTATTTTCTTTGAAAAAAAAACATAAAAAATCTCCAATGTCCAATTTCAGAACTCTTATAAAGTCAAGTTGAACTTTTTCTCGATTACAGTTCAGTTATTTGTCTTCTTCTGAACTCCTTTGTTGACAGTCCTTGAAGCAGTTTTCTTGGGAAACTAGCTTAAATCATTATATTTCACCAGCATCTTCTTTGACTGATTGATTCACAGGGTGAACAGTTTCTGTCACGTATTTACTCACTGTGACCTCATCTTTTATTGCAGTATAATAATATTGCACCTTTGCAAACATGATACAACCATGACTAGAAGGAGAGAGAACTCACGATTGCATTCTTTGGGTTTTAATGCTAGAAAACATGAAAAAGAAGTTCAATTTCAGGATTTTTTTAGTCCACAAAAATGGCTAAACATGTGGTTAGCATGTATAATATTTTTCCAAGTGCCCACACGTGTGACAGATACTGGAGGAAAGCGATGGCTCTGCGTGATATTTAGTTGTTTTGATTTGTAATTTGTTATTATATTTGTCTCCTGTGTTCTCTATATATACGCAACCTGCAGTTCAACCAAATGTGCTCGTTTTCACTCAGAGCTTTTTGTTGCACTAAGGTGTGCTGAGTTTTAGGGATTTTGTTTTTGGTATGTTTTTAAAATGAAACTATATAAAAAGTAATTTTAATAAAATATCATAATATTAAGGTTAGTTAATTTTCTCGATGAACCTGAACATCACACATGATTAGTTAAAGGACTGTTGGAAAGTTGAAAATCGGATGATTTTTTTTGCTTTCATGGTTTCAGACTCTAATAAATGCTATAATTCTTTCATTAAAAAAAAAAAACCCGGCTTTCAAACCTACCAGTAGATTTTGGAGTTCAGCAGGTTGGGAAAAGAAGACATTAAGGAGCCAGTGATGAATTAAAAACTGCCTCTAAGATGAAGATTTGTCTCGTATTTTTGGCTGTTTTTGAGCCATGCGGGTCTTAGTTTCTCAAAACAATTCAACAAGTCACGTATGTCTAATACAAATAAACATGTTTCACCAGTTTTCTAGATCAAACAACTAATTCTCAAGAAAAAATATTTAAATAAGTTTCAAACTTCCCTAAACTTCATGGTTCAGTAACAGAAAATTCACTACTTGTTTCATATAGTTTGTTTTTTTTTGCAGTGTGGTCCTTCACTCTCTCTGTTTTGTCTTTATCAAACCACAATCTGGTCTCTCTGAGTTGTGCTTTGTTGCTTATCTGGCGCCATCTACTGCCCACATGGACTAACTGTGTCTCTGATCCTGCAGATAACGAGCTGACTGTGGGGAAAGTCTACGCAGCTCTAATGATCTTCGACTACTATAAGCAGAATCGTGCCAAGAAGCTCCAGCAGCAGAATCCTTCGGGGGCACCTCAGGTACAGCAGTTAGCAGGATGTCAATGTAGAGAGCTCAAGGAACAGCAGACAGGCAGGAAAGTGAATGAGTGAGAAAATGGTAGATTTGAGTTTCTAGTTTCAGTAGCTCAGTAGATTGTATCTAGGACTGTGTGTGGAAGGATTTTACTCACAAAAACACCAAATTTAAGAATCGACATCATGATATTTACATCATGTGTCCTGATTCAGAGTTCCTTCTTTTCAGTCTTGTCTTAAGACTACGTGAGGAGGAGGAAGGATTCCTTTTATCCACCTCAGACCATGTAGTTATTGGTTCATGTTTTCAGTTTTCAGTTTACTTCACAAAATCACAAAGACAATTGTGGAAAATTCTCTTGAACACTTTAAATATGTATAGATTAAATTATTGAAAAAAATATGAATTACATAACATCATCATAAATATGGAAAGTAAAACAAAAACAAGCAGTGATTACGATGCTAAATAAAAATAAAACAAATTTGAGATACGTCACCTCTTGTGAACTTAAAAAAAATCTTCATGGAGACTTATCATAGAGTTATCCCAAAGCTTTGTGGTTTCACTTGGCACTGTTTTAACATCTGTCAGCTTGTTTCTTTGGTTTTACGTCTCAAAATGTGGTTTGTGTTTGGTTCCATTGTACTGTTATGATCAGCCTAGTTTTTAGCTTTTGTAGGCAGTTTTTTAAACAAAGAAAAAAAGCAATAAACCCACTTCACAGTCCCTGCTGGGCACCAAATATCAGTCAGATACAGTTAATGACCAGCTGGTGAACAAAGTGGACTTTTAATCAGCTATAGAGCGGTTGATAGAGACCAAAACAGAGCGAAAAGAAAAGTGAATGTTAAAGTAACTGAGTCGTCAGAAACATGACTCTCAATTAGTGATAACATTTCTTTTTGTCTGTCGGACATATATGAGCAACTTTTTTACCAACTTCACGGTTGTCATTGTGTTATTAGTTTTTTGGTTTTAATAGTTTTCATGATGGTTCCTGTTCTTTCCTGCAGAGTAAACTGGGAGCCTTGTTCCGTCCTGTGCTGCCCCTCCCCCACATCCAGGAGGTAGAACATCCGTTCCCCATCACCAAAAAGCCAATCACACCGCAGCCGGAGCCAGAAACCAAACTGGAGATCCCACCAACCACGGCCCTCACCACCAGCACCATGAGCAGGGACATCATGTAAGTGACTGACATACAGACAGCTGTAGAAACATAAGAGATTCATGATGTAAAACACTACGACTTTATGCTTTTCAACCTCTACAGGAATCAGAGGTAGATGTTACCTGAAACTTTGGTGCTTTTCTTCCAACCAGGCAACAATGAGTATTTTCAGTCCTGTGGCAGAGATGCTTGAAACTCTCTTTTTCCGTAAATTAGCATTCAGTAGATGGTTTAATGTGTGTAAGGTGAAGCTTGAAAAGCCCTGCTCCAGAAGATGTGCAGTGGCATTTTTGAGGAGCCCAACAGTCAGACCAGAGTTCAGGGTCTAAAAAACCCAATTCTCTGGTGGGAAGCAGCGTTCAGGACTAGTGCTGCTACACTGGAGGCAGGGGATGCCGACAACAGAGTTTTAGTCGTCCCTTTGGGGAAACAGCAACCACCTGGATGACTCTGTAGTAAAGATGGAGTCATCCATCTGATATTGTTGTGCTGGAAGAATCTATAAGTGTGGGTTCGCTGCTGGGATGCAGCAGATCGTTGTTCAGGTGTGTGTCAATGTGCTTCCATTCCTCTGACGGCAGCCTGGTCTTGTCCAGGTTGATGGTTAGGTTGTACCTCCACCCCAGGAGCTTCAGTAAAAAGCCACCAGTCTTCTCTTTTAGGTTCTTGTGGGCATGTCCCCCCTCATCCAAGACATTTGTTGAGTTTTAAGTGACTAAGATTGGATGAGAGGTGAAAAATCCACAAGAACCTTGAAAAGGAAACCAGAAGCGTTTTACTGAATCTCCGAGGATTAGCATGATGTAGATGACTTGAAGGTCTACACTTTTACTCCAAGTTGTAAGTCAGGGAGGCAGTAATACTGAGCGCCAGATGTTGGACGAGTAAGAATAGCAGGATGTCATCAGCATAACAGTGTTGACAGACTTTACAATTCATTTCAATTTTGGTAAATTCAGAGGGATTATTTATTTATTTATTTTTTTTAAGTGTCACAAAACAGTGTCTTCAAGGCATAAAATTATAGTTTGTCATTGAAATTGTCATATATTGATTATATATTTCCAGTTCATATATGCATGTGTGTGTGTGGATGCATGTATGTCTGTTCAGGTTCACATTATTTACTGTTGGCATTATTGGACAGCTAGAGGTGTTCTGACTCTTTGCTTACAGGACTATTTTTAATTTTAAGACCTCATTAAGCTTTTTGAAATCTGTCAGCGCATTCACAGAATATGGTTTTCCTCGGTAGAAACACCAACCACAACAGCAACATCACAATTCCAGCTTTATTTTGCTCTGCAATAACATTAGAAACTGTTATCTAGAAGAAAAAAAAACAGAATATGGGGATTCTTGGGACCAATGACCATGATACTGTTAAAGAAAAAGAACTTCCTCAGTTTATATGTGGTTATCATTTTAAAAAGGTAGAATTAGGATCCAACTCAAAGTCAGACATGCTGTATTGGTACTAATGTGCCGTAAATTTGGGATAAATTAAGATGTTTTCCATCCTAAAAAACCTCCGGCTGACTGGCCACATCAATCAGCTCCTGTCACTTGAGAAGAAACAGTTTTTCCCTCTGGAAGAATTCAGAAATTACATTTTGCAAAAACGTTCCAGGAGCCAAAGAAACCTCAGCTCCCGGCTCAGACGCTGTAAGTTCTTCAGTAGTGCTGCTCGCTCTTCCGTTAGACTGCAGATAATTAACTTTGACACTTGGACACGACTGACAACGCCTTCAAAAGGTTGCTGCACAGTTCCCAAAACTCTTTCCCGTCTTATTTCTCACTGAATAGCATTTTGAGCAAAGCGCAAATTGGCAAAGTTTTTCCAAATCTGTCTGGCGTGCATTGAAACAAGTCGAAGAACAAAGTTGACATTGTTTTAACACTACATACCTGAACACCAATAACTTCCACGATTACAGTCAGAGCTCTTGTGTGTTTAAACTCAGACTAAACCAGCGGAGTGCCATCAAACATTCCCAGTCTGGAGACGTTTCTCAGGCCACGCAGAGGCCCAAAGGCCGGAGGAAGCTGCAGAGAGGCCAGTCAGAGGATGTGCAGTACTCCGCGAGACCTCAGGTACCAAAACATGTCCATCTACACGTCGTTTTACCGTCTTAGTGTTTGTTTAGCTGCACTGACGCCTGTGTTGTCTCCACGTACGTGCTTCCTTCAGGAACAGGTTGAACTGAAGCAGGTGGAGAACATCTCAGACACTGAGGGATATCCCGGCCTGGAGGGTCACGGCAGAGCAGCGTCTCTGCCCCGACTCAACGCCGAGTACTACGTAAGCCCTCCGCTGCTCGATGCTTTCCTTTTTACCGCTCACAGAAAGAATCTCTCCGCAGATGTTTGTTTTTGTGCAACATTCTTGTGATGTTAGATTCTTAAAATACAAAAAAAAAAAATACAAATCTGTGGATACCTTAGATATAAAAGATCTAGAAAACACCGGACAGGGCTGGAAAAAAGGCTAACGGGCTGCTGAACGAGAGCCGCTTAGCGAAAGCAGCCGTGAGCGAAGCAAAGCCAAGCCGCTCTCTGTCACACCACATCAGCTCATCCTGCCGACCCTGACCTCTGCAGTCGGACAATTTCACATATTTTCAGCGAGGAGGAGTTTCGGGATAGAGACGTGGACAGGAGGGAGGACAGCATCCAGTAAATCTGTTAGTCGATTATGGCTGCCTGTAAACTGGGAAAAGCTCTCAGTGGGACGTAATTATCTGTAACTATAAAAAGCTGCCAGTTTCTTTGGTCAGTATCAGTCATTAACATTCATTTATTATCAGAGATGCAGAAGGCAGGAATACGGTCAAAGTGTTCTTCACTTGTGACATTTTAATTTAACAAACATGGAGTTTATAGATAAAATAGAAATAGGTGAGCCTGTGAGTATCAGTTATTTAAACGTAGCCTCGGTTGCTGTTCAGATTGATCTTGTCTTTAAAAAAAGAGTGCAGTGTTTTGGGAAACAGTCCAGTTTCTTACACAAGGATGTTGATATGAAGCTACAGCTGTGTGACAACTAGATTAGCTTCACATAGTGACTAGAAACAGGTGGTTCTCAAGACTTTTTCCAGCATAAAGCACATCAAAAACCAGACTTGCTGATTTTTCATTAAAGAATGACAAATAATAAGTGAATATTTACTCATTTTTTTTCAATCAATATCACGTCTGGTATTTAATGTAACACAAATTAAGTGCAAAAAGTGATTCCAAAGAAAGGAAGAAATAATCATGTGGCACCAAAACAGGCAGTTAAAACCCACAGTGTTTGCACTTCTTGATATTTATTTTTTTCTGGTTATGCAGTTAAAGTGATTGTATTTTTTGAAATGGAAACTGATTACAGCATGTGTAAACGTACTGTTTGGTCTTTAACGTACTAATCTGATCACATAAGTTAACAGAAGGTTCATTTCTATGAAAGACTGTTTATTTATTAGATTTAGCTCATCAGTTATAAAACCTAGTTTGTTCATCCTTTTTATATTTTGTACATTTGTTTTTTCATTCTAACGATAATAAGATCTGATCTGACAGCTGAGTTTTGCATGACTTCACTAATTCTCTCATTTTTGTGCTTTTCTTTTTTGCTTTTTATCCGTCATTTTTTAATCACCTTACTTCTGTGAGTTGCAGTTGCTGCTCTTGTCCGCTGCTTACGGATGTCGCGTTCAGATGATTTTTCTGTCCATCATTTCCCTGTTTGGATTGTTTCCACCTGTCTGATGTCGTCTGTTTAGCTTTGCTGTTTGTCTCTTTGTCTGGTTTTTTTTTGTTTTTTGTGTCTCTGTCGCCCTGCTCTCTCCCGCGACACTGAACATGTGCTTTCCTTATGTTTATGTTGCATTTTGATCTCTTGCACTCTCTCTCTCTCTCTTTAAAAGATCAGGCTGGAGTTATTCTGGATTTTCTTTTCGTCAAGAACTTCCATGAACCCCAAAACAACAATGTCTTCTCAACTATTAATATTTTCCACTCAAATATATATATCGTTAGTTGCAATAGACACTAAATAATTCTATAAAACAGCCCAGCATGGTATTTGTTTTTTGTTTGTTTTTTTTTTACCACAGATTTAGTCTTCAGCAGCTCACTGATACACATTTATGTTTTTGTCAGCACAACAAGGTGTAAATTATAAGGTCTAACCCTGATGATGCATAAATTTAAGGCTTAATACGTTTCAAAACACATTAGTTTTTTAAAATTCTTCTTGTACGAGCTGTTTCACCATCACAGAATTTCTAATATCACAAGAAGTGAAGTCAAAATAAACTGAAATGTGTCAAAAAAATAACAGATGGGGACAAACTGATAAAAATAAGGTAAAAATAGTTTTAAACTTTTATGACATTGAGGCTCTACATATGAGGATAAAATAAGGAAACTAATATAATTGATACAGTACAGCTAAAATACGCACTTATGTTTTTAATTAATTGAAATTACTTTGCAAGAACCTGTTTTCACTTTGACATGAAAGAGTCTGTTTTTTTTTTTTCTTCTTCTTTTTCTTTTTTGGGTAAATTCTTATGAAAATGTAATTCCAAGGAGGGTTAATGCTTTTGGAAGGCACCGTATGAGACTAAAATAGTCCAAATGATGTGAAATAAAAACACGTACAACTGTCTCAAGATTCCTTAAAAGTGAACTTGAAAACAGCCGACTAACTACCGAGTGTTTGTTCAAACTGATGTTATTTTAAGCGACAGCACTGAGGAGAACCCAGATATTCTGCAGCCCTGTGTAGAGTTTGAATACTTTTAACAACAAGGAAACAGGAACAAGACTATTTAGGATCAAGACATTGTCGGTTTTGGTCTTTTCGTGGGATTTGTCGACCACCAGAAGATCCAGAACACCACCAGCCTCGTCCCTCTTGACTCCTTGCTCTACTGTCTTCCCTTTTCTCCTGATTTCGATGCTCACTGCTAATGTTTTGCCCACCTCCTCTTGTGTGTGCTGTCTGATAGCGGAGCCACCCTCGCCACGCCCCCGGGACCCACCTGGCAGTATGTACCACCTGTTGTGCCACCTCTTTCTCTTTCCTCCTCTTGTCTTATCCCTCCTCCTCCTCCTCCTCCTCTTCTTCTTCTTCTACTTCCTTCTCCTCACATGTCCGTGTTTGCCTCCATGCGCTCATCACCGTGCAGCGTTCAACCATCACGGACAAAGTGAACCTCCCACACTAGTCATTCCATTGAATTGACGACAGACACGACACTCCCCACATACCAATTTGCATTATCCATCAAACATACCCAGATTCCATACCTGGAGAAGTATTAGTATGTGTATCCAGGGTATCTCAAGCACTCTGTCCTGCTTTCCAGCCATTAGTTACAGCAGTACAGTACTACGCTTTGGTACTAACGTGGTCGTGTGTGTTGTAAACGTGGTAGTGTGTAGTTTTTTTCTTTTTCTTTTGTAAGTTAGTGTGTGATTGTGATAAAGGTAGAGACAGTACTGCTGCTTTTCTGCTTTGAAATTAATACTTTCTTTCACACTAAAAAAAAAAACTCGCCCAACCTTTTCTGTCATTTCTTATGTTCAGTCTTAAAATCTTATTTTTGCACACAGCAAAAGCATAAAAACGAACAAACAAACACTGCCGCTTATTTCCAAACTCTTTCTTTCACATCACTTCACCTTCCAGTGATGTGAGTAGAAATATAGGACAGCATTTTATTATAATATAACATTTAAAGATAAGATTTTAAGACTGCACAGTTGATAAAAATGACTCGGGGAATATGAATATTTCTTACAGTGTTGTGATTTTGGTGTCTCTGGCTGAAGCTACAGGCTGAACTGTGAGGTAGGAACAAGAGGAACAGCGCAGCCACTCTGGTCCTGAAAGCAGTAAACAAAGTGCTGTTAAATTCAAAACCTTACAATTCATGATTAATTCATTCTAAGCACTAGTGGATTTCAGTAGAATTTAAACATGTTGTGTCAGTATGCTTGTATTTTGAATAACCTCTAAATGTGAACCAAGCTCGTGGCTCAGTAACCAGCAGGTGGGGTGGTAACTTAGCTGCTGTTCCAGTTCTCTATCACACCAGTTGGCTGCCTGGTAGCTGTACTGGTCAGCAAGGTAAGAATCAGGTGGGGTGAGAGTCGCTGTCCTCAAAGCATTTATCAAAGCATTAATCCGTAGAAAGAAAAAAAGGGATAAATGTAAGATATTAAAGGAATACACCACTGTATACATCCAATTGTTTTACATTAACAGTCGTTTATATGACTACTTGTATATATAAAAGTCACTAGAGATGAGAAACTACACTTGCTAGTGAACATAATGGAGCATTTAGCTGTTAAATAGATAAATATTTAACTAAGGAGCTGGTTGAGACCAAAAACAGAGCAAAAAGGGACATCAGTGTTGCACTCAGTTTTATCAGATGGGCACAAACTTAAGTAATTCTAATATTGCTCCAATAAATGCCAATAAAAGTGTTTTCTTATAAATTCACCATGTTAACCTAAAAGGTGATGCATTTACAGCTTGTTTCCATAGCCAGATGTGGTCGGAAAATTAGTTGCTAGGTGTTTTTTTTTTTTATAGTCTGAATATAAAAGATGGACGTAGCCACCATAATGGCATCCATTAGATTTACCATTTTGAAGCCTCAAGTTTAGCATTTAGCTGTTGCCATCTTGGTCTTTCAACCAGAAATAATGAGAACTCGACTGCAACCTGTCAATTACAAGGTAACTCCGCCCTAAAACGCACCCTAATGTATCATCCATTTTCCTCTAAATGGGACCATAATTTACAAAACGAAAATTGTGCCGTATTGAAGGAAACTTAAAACTAGTTATTGAATCCATAAATGCATTAGGAAAATGTTTACGGAGGTAATAAATGAAGTGAGAAGAGGGCTCATTTTCTTATAGACCCCTCTATACAATATAACTATTTGTCAACCAGAGGAGTCGCCCCCTGCTGGCTGTTAGAAAGATTGCAGGTTTAACACACATTTACACCTGAAGGCTACAGCTATCTTTTATACAGTCTGTTCATCCAACAAATGCAAGCAGAAAGTCCAGCTGAATGTGGCAAGTAAACAGCTAACCAGTGGATAAAAGATGTATAGTTAGCAATGTTTCGGTTAAAAACATGGGCAGACAGTAAAGAAATTAGGATGCTGGTGTTGCTTGGAATACGTTATTTTTC